CCCATGTGAAATGGTCGATTCTTCAAGGTCAAGGCATTTGGGGCAATACCAAAGCTCCATCAATCCCCCTGACGTTAACGAGGTGGAAGAGGCAGGCGCTTGGCCAAGCTGCTGTTTGGCTGAGGATGAGGAGCCAGGCTCTGCGCTGGGGTAGCTGAGCTGCATCCCCATCCCATGGAGCTGGCAGAACCCCTGCGGGGTTCCCCACGTCATTGAATCCACAATGGTGGCTCACAGCCAACACGTCAACCCTGTTGAGTTGACAACACGTTGTGTTTGGTGCTGGGAAGAGCTTCCAGGATCGCTCGGACGTGACCATGTGCGTATGCAACATGCGTGCACAATGATCCTGGCCGCCGACATGTCTTGATCCCACCACATGTGCACCCTGCCAAAAGCTACGCATGTCCTCAGTGGTAGTAGAAGTGCTTTGGGATCATCCAGAAACCACAACTCCACCTTCATAGCCTTTATTTCTGCAAAAAAACAATGAAAAAGGGGCACAAGCGGTGGGTAGCCCAGGCTGGGAGGTAGTCAGCAGCAGTCAGGATGAAGCCACCACCCACCCTGGCAGGTCTCTCCCACTCGATGGATGCTCCCGCTGTGGTCAGAAAGCCAGTGAGGCTGGATGCTGGCAAGGAGCTGACAACGAAATGAGAAACATCAGGTTGGAGACGCTCCAGCTTCTTGACAAGGCGACTACTCACACGCGGCGATGCCAGATGAGCTCCGGCCAAGAGGCGATGGCCAGCTCCCTGCGGGGACACTGCTCCACACTGGCTTCAGCCACAGCTGTGGTGGGAAGGGGGGGGTTGTAAAAACACCTCCATGCCTCGGATTTTAAAATGTGCTTCCAAAAAGATTCAGGTCACCAGGAGGAGGTCCGGTGGCAGGCAGCAGGATGCTGGCTCCTTGTCTGCCATGACGTGCAGGTGAGTCAGAAAACCTCCCCGTATCAGCCAATTCAAGTTCGATGGTGAGGTCTGCTCCAGGCTGGAGAGAAGAGGACATTATCCAAGTTCAAGATGTGTTGGCTGGCTCTCACTTCAGCACTGGTTTCTAGCCAAGGGCATTCTCCAACTTGTCCTCCTGGAGGGGTAACACTGAAAGCAGGGCAGAGGAACCGCCATGAAGGTCTTTGCACTCTCCATTGTCTCTAGCCCTGCTCTTGATGCTTGCATGTGATAAGGATGGTAGAAGCTCTGGAGCAAGTGGACAGTCTTCATCCTTGGCATCACTGTCCTTGATGTCTTCAAGCCTTGGTCATCATTAATGGCCCTAGGTTGGTCCAATGGTCCTTCATGGTCTCTTCCAGCCCACTGTGACATACCAAAGAGCCTCAACAACAGATTTGTCTCCTAGATGGCACGGAGGGATCAGAGGTCCCTTCCCACCTCCTCCTACCCTGCGTTGCCCTTCAAACCCAGCCGCTGCTCTTCAGGCAATGCCAGAGCGATGCAACCAGTGGGAGATGAGAACATCTGTGATCCTCAGCCAGTCCTTTGGCCGTACTCAGAAACATGCAGGAAAATCTTAACTCACCATCTCCCCTCCAGATTGCACCTGTTTAATTCCATGTCTGATTTGGATATTGATTTATAGCAGCCAGGCCCTGGATCTGGGTATTCTCAAATTGATTCCAACCTGCTTTCTATTGATTGAGCTTTATGTTAAGCAGCCGTAAGGTGCTTTTAAATCAACGTTCCTGGCCAATGCAGAGCTGGCACTGGCAGCTTAATAGGGAGGTATTCCCGTAAAATGCCGGTCATCTGGAAGCCAGCGCCTGCACCAGGCTGGGAGCAAACGTAATGGGGTTTTATTTGAAATCCAAGACAAAGGTGGGGTTTGGAGGCAGAGTTTGGCAGGGAGGAAGGGCTTGTGGAGGCCTGTTTGAATTGAAGGGAGTGAATCTGGGGGCCCAGCCCAAGCTGTGTTGCTTTAAGATGGGTAGGGGGGATCACTGTGACCATAACACAGTGGTCGTAACCGGGCTGAGAGGTATCCCCACCACATCACCACATGCAAATGCAGAGGAGGGCCACGAGGATGAGCAGGGGCTGGAGCAGCTTCCGTACAAAGGCAGGCTGAGGACATGGGGGCTGTTCAGCCTGGAGAAGAGAAGCTGTGTGGAGACCTCAGAGCAGCTTCCAGTGTCTGAAGGGAGCTACAAAGATGCTGGAGAGGGACCTGCATCAGGGATTGGAGCAAAGGGACAAGGGGTGATGGGTTCAGACTGGAACAGGGGAAGTTCAGGTTAGATATAAGGCAGAAGTTCTTCCCTGTGAGGGTGCTGAGGCCCTGACACAGATTGCCCAAAGAAGCTGTGGCTGCCCCATCCCTGGCAGTGTTCAAGGCCACGTTGGATGGGACTTGGAGCAAGCTGCTCTAGTGGAAGGACAATCTTAAGGTCCTTTCCAACCCATTCTATGATTCTATGCCCCCATTAGTAAACCTGCAATGCCCAAATGCATAGGGCCAGGAGGGAAACTGAGGCACAAGAACCCATGTTCCTTCTTGCCAGCCCATCTTCTGCAAGATGCTACCAAACATCCCCAGGAGGTGATTTGGATCGGTTATGCCTCCATCCATGAGTCCTTGCTTGTTCACATGGGTGGCTGGGGTGTCCTGGGTCCCTGAATTGCCTCCTGCAGCATCCCCTTGCTCCCCCACAGCTGGAGAACCTCACGAAATCCTCTTCATTGTGCGGGTTTTATTGCACAATAAAAAGGTGTGGACCTTCCAGTCCAGCCTGGCAGAGGAGGGAGAAGAAGATAAATAACAGAGTCCTGTAAATCATGAGAGATTAATGGAGAGAGCTGAGGTAAAGCAAATAAGAGCACGTGCAGGAGTGCAGCGCCACGGCAGAGTCGCTGTGTCCTTCAGGGAAGGGTGGATGAGGCTGTTGGTGATGAGATGCTGTTGGTGATGCGATGCTGTTGGTGATGGGATGCTGTTGCTGCTGGGATGCTGGTGGTGATGGGATGCCATTGGCAATGGGATGCCATCCAGTGCTGCTTAAGCACTAACTGCTCTGTACCTCAGTTTCCCTTCCCCACCTCCATACCTATGGGATGCTCTGGGGGGGCTCTTCCTGCTTCCTCATCTTTCACTGCAACACACCAGCTCCCCATTCCCATCCATCCCTCTGCATCCCCCAGAGCCCAGATGTCATTTGGCTCCTTCAAAGCACCAAATCCAGCTCCAGAGGCAAAAGCCGGGTAACCTGGATGCTCTGACTACTGAGCTGTGCTCCCCCATGTGCTGAAAGATTTATCCCTGGGTAGTTGGCTGAGTTTCTAATGAGAGCCAAGACGGATGCTCCACTCACCAGTTAATAGGCTGGGGCTTGGATTAGTCACACTAACTGGCATCAATGCACTGATTTTCTTTTTATTGCACATTGTAACTCATGCTCTGGGGAGGCGAGATAGAGAGAAGCCTCGTGACACTGGGAAGATACAGCTCCAGAGGGCTATTCCACACTCACCGCCAAGGATTTGCCATGGGTGGATGGAAGGGATGGTTCAGTGCCCCAAACCGGGACCCTCTTGGCCCTTGGGAAGGGGGATACAGGGATAAGGAGGCTGTGGAAAGGATGCTGGGTTTGAGCATCCCATTTGGGATGCTCTACAGCAGCTCCATCATGCTCTTCCCTTCCTGGGGAGGAAGGATGCAGCACCACACCCCTGCTGATGGAGCCCTCATTGCATTTCCTGAATATCCTCCTTTTGGGTTTTGGTGTTTTGTCAAATGTTTAGGGGCTGGGGGGACCCTCCATCATCTGCCACCCTTGGGAGCAGCAGGATCCAGGCGGCCATGGAGCTAGGACAAGCCCTGGACCATAAATCAATGGTCCTGGACATGCTGGGATGAAGCTCAATGAGCGCCCATAGCATCAGTGCACCCAGCACCCATCCGTCTCCAGCTCAAGGCTGGAAATCCCAGCTCTGCAAGGCTGGAGTTGCTCTGGCAGCCAGGCAGGAGCAGGCAGGAGCTCCACACGCTCTTGCTAAGCTGTTATCTCCCCATCTAGTGACCACAGCACGCATAGCAAGACGCACGGAGCTGCAAATTCTTTGGGATGCTCCCAAATTATTTAGGAGCTGAATAAACACTGGACGGAACAAGAGCTCCTGGAAAACACCCTTCCCAAAACCAAAACCATTTGGGTTTGGAGGTGCTTGGAGATGCCACGCGTGCAACGCCACCCAAAAGCCAAGTGCATGTGTAAGGGAGAGGGGTGTCACATCTCTTGCGTGTCCCCCGAAGTGGGGACACGGGGAGCACCCCGAGGCATTCCCACCCCGGGAGGCTTTGAGCGTGAGGCTGCTCCAACCGCAGCCGCCGCGGGGTTTTTCCTTTGCTTTTCCCACTCAGCAGCTGGTTGTGATTTATGGCTCTCGCCTAAACGCTGCCACGTGGCCCAGCTCCCATGGGCGCCAGCCCCGAGCCCCCGGAATCCCGCCGGAGGCCGATGGGATGCGCAAGGGGGATTTGGGGGCTGGTTTGTTGGGTTTGGGTGGTTTTCTTGCGCCGTGCTCGGTGCTTTCTTTGGCTTGAAAAGGCAAATAAGGGGAAAAAAAAAGAAAAAGAGAAAGGCAAAATATGTGCTTGGATTGCCAGGATTGCTTCTGTCTGGAGGGTGCAGCGGGGCTGGGAATGGGCTGGGCACCTCGGGCGCTCTGGGTTTAAGTTCTTTCACCCCTGTTTTCCCCTTTTAAAGTGCTACGGGGGTTGAGTGTTTTTTCTCTGAACTGATTCATTCCACCCCACAACGGTGATGCTTGGGCCTGGCTTCCCCATCCCCCATCGCATCATAGGGCGTCAGGACACCTATTTCCCACCCCTCAAAACCAATCCTTGACTCTGTCTTCAGACAAATCCCATCCTCCCCCTTCCCTTTCTGACCTCATGGGTTGTTTCAAGCTTTACACCCCAAGACACAAAGGCTCCAGCTCTTCCCATACACAACGCAGCTACCGATGCTGGTGATTCACGAATCCCTTCTTTATTCCAGACATTTCCATAACTTTCCCAACCTTTCCAGAGGCAAAACGCGGCCGGTAATTGTGTTAATGCAAATTCGAGCCAATTAAACCGAGATAGAGGAAGGCGAGACGGACTTTCCATCGAGTGAAACCTGTTTGCATTTCATCAGGGCAGTAATTACAGGTTAACAACGGGGGTGATTGCGCGGCCGCTTCTCGGGTGCACGTTTGGCTCCTGGCAGGTTGGGTTTCCTCCTTTTTTAAAGGCTTTTCTTCGTTTCCATGCTAAAAACAAAGCCATGGGACTTCCTCTGCCTGCCCTACGCGAGGGGGCTCCATCCCGCCTGGAAACGGGAAGGAGATGGAAGAAGGATCCAACCCCGCTTAGGGGCAGGCAGGGAAATTTGGGGCTGGTTTTGGCAGGAATGCTGAAATCCTCGCGGGAGTGAGGAAGGGGGTAATTGCTCTGCAGAACCTCTGGAGCCTCGCAGAGCCCCAAAGGGAGGCAGAACCTCACCGACGCATCCGTAAACTCCGCATACAGGGAACAAGCCGCAACAGGCTACAGCCGCCCGCTGTGCCTGGCTCCACTCGGGATGGAGCACAAGGAGAAACGTGTTCTCCCCACACGTTTTCCTCGATTTTTTTTCTCTTCCCCTTTGGCATCCCCATGTAATTCTGGCAAAGAATCGCCCGGTGGAGCTCGTGGAGAGGTTGGTGCAAAGTGGGTGCAGGCACGGAGTGAGGTCTTTGCTTGGTTTCACTTGGATGGTTGGGTGCTCCTGCAGTGTGAAAGCAAAGCCAAGGTGGGGATGTCCAGTGGTGCAAGAGTAAAGGCAAGATGGGGATTTCCAGTGGTGCAAGAGCAAATCCAAGGTGGGGATGTTCAATGGTGCAAAAGCAAAGCCAAGGTGGGCATGTCCAGTGGTGCAAAAGCAATGTGGAGATGCTCTCCTGGTGCAAGAGCAAGGCCAAGCTGAGGAGGATCCCATAGTGCAAGTGCAAAAACCAAGGCTGGGAGGTTCCTCCAGTGCAAAAATCAAGTTGAGGTGGGCTTTTTCCTGCAGTGCAAAAGCCAGATCAAGGTGGGGATGTTCCTGTGGTGCAAAACTAAGATAGAGATGGGGCACAAGCAAAACCCAGGCGGGGATGTTTTCCCATACAAAAGCAAACCCAGAAAGGTCCCACACCAGCTTTGTGGTCCCTCTGCACCCCCAACGCTGCGCAAATTCCCCCAAGCATCCACATTTCCACACAGGGACTCATCCCATGTGCCCATTTTCCCTCATCCCGCCTGCTTTGGAAGGGGGACAAAGGAGCCCAACCCGCTGCAGAGCCCAAAACGCCGGCGCAGCAGCAAGCTGGGACAAGCAAAGCCCAGACAGGAGGTGGCTGCCCAGAAAATGCACCCTGGAGAGGTAAAACCCTCTTGGATTATGCAAACCTTCAGACGCCGCCTTTGCCACCGAACGCCCTTCCAAAGCCCGCTCCCTCCTTGCCTGCAGCGAGTCGTTTTCCTTTTGATCAGCAAATAAAATAGAGTTAGTCAGGGCTTTTTTGGTTTTCCTGCCATTTTGGGTTTTTTTTTCCCACTGTCAGCACAGACCAAAAGGGGGATTTCAATCGTTTTCGTTTCTATTTCCACCTTTTCTGGGCTTTTCTCCACCCAGAATCACCGGGTCCTGGATCCGTGGGGATGCTGCTCGGCCAACAGCAGAGGATTTTGCAGGATTTGGCCCTTTGGAGAGCACTTACAGCAGGATTTGACCAAACTGCAAAGTACCATCAGTTGGGATTGCCTCCTCCCCGGGGGCTCACTGCCTTCTGCTTGGCTTCTCTAGTGTCTAATACGAGGTTGTGCCCTCTGCAGAGGACACTGGTGCCGTGTCTCCCCTTTACCCAGCTGCCTCATTCAGGATAATTTAGAGGTTTTCTCCCTGGATTGGCCACGTTCAGCTCGATTTTGACAAGAGGATTAAGAAATAAGAGTTGGGAGAGGAGAAAGGGGGGGGGGTCAGGAGCACCCCAGGGCGCTGTGGGAGATGCTCGGTGCTGCGAGCAAGGACACGCAGGGCTGCGGATGCGCGGGCACAACGCTCCCCCTGTCGAAGGCGGGTTGGAAAGCCGGGATCCATCCACGCTGCCGCAGAGCCAGGGCTGCCTCTTCCAGGCGGGATAAAACAGGGATGGGGAGGGATGAGAGTCCCAGGGGAATGGGTGTCCTACAGCTGCGATTTCTCTCCCCCCCCTTATCTCCAAGAAGAAGCCTCATTGCCTGTTGAATCCATATTCCCCACGACGCTGGAGAGCAGCATCTTGTTTCCTCCTTGGATTTATTTACCTGCAGCTCCCCAGGCTGATGGAAGCGCCCTGGGCTAACAGCTCCTTTCTCCCCGTGCAGCTATTTATAGACAAGGATATTTATAAACAAGCCAGGAATGCTCCAAACGGATCGAACATCCCATAAAAAGAAGGAGATTTGCAAGGTGGACACAGCCAGGCTGGAGGGGGGGGAAGCTCTCCGAGGCCTGAAGCATCGTGAAGCATCCCCAAGCCATGGGACATTGGGGGATGGGGGTTTGCTCCTTCCTTCCTCCCCCCCCACCCCGCTCCCCGGAATCCAGCTTTTCAGGCTGGAAAATGATGGTTTTCCACCCAAAAATGACCATAAAGGTCTCAGTGGGTCTTAGATATGGGTGTCCTTCTGCAGGGTGGCTACTGAAAGCAGAGCAGTGGCCACCAAAATGTCCCTTTATTTCACCTCCCCACCCCTAAAAGGGCAAATTTCATCCCAAATTACACCCCAGGAAGAGCAGGAAAAGGAGCACAAAACGGAAAATGGGGCAATTCTCAGGGATTTTGAGTCACTCGTGACCAGGGCAGTGGGAAAGGGGTGTTTTGTCCTGTCAGGAACGTCTACCCAAGCTTGGTGCCAATTGGATGGATATGGATGGGTTTCTGCTTTGATTAACCCCCCTCAATTAAATCAGGTGCACAAAATCCCACTTATCTCCATAAAATGGGGCAAAAACCATGGATATAGGGAAAACAATTGCCATGGAGGAGCATTGTGAGGAGCCTGGAGCCCATCTTTGGATGGGCAGGAGCCATCTGAGTATTTCAGACCAGAAGCCTCCCCCCCCCAAAACCCTCTTTTATTTGTCTCATCTCATTTTAATGTTATTAACGGGATATTTTCCCCAAAAGCAGCGGATTTTCAAGCGGAATGAGCCAACGCTGGTGTTCTCAAGGGGCAGATAAAGCAAGCGGTGGGGGAAGGAGCAGCGCCTGACCTTTCCAAAGACAATTAGAATCCTGACGGAAACGGTGGTTTAAGGAGAAGAATCCAAGCTCTGCATAGCAAAAAATCATCAAATCAGGGCTTTTGAATCCCAAGGAGGGTGTTTTTTAGGAACGACGCTGGTTTATGGGGAAATAAGTGGGATTCGGGCTGTGTTTGCACCTGATGATGGCAATTGGGCACAGCGAAAATCCCCCCAGTGGTTTTGGGGAGGTGATAACAGGTTTTAAGGGGAAAGGGGGGGGGGGGGGGAATGATTGAATCCTTGTTGCTTTTTATTCCCCCTTCCTTCGCTATCCCTGCAGCCTTGCTGTGGTTTATAGAGCATCTCTGCGGTGCTCATTACCAGCGGCTCTGGTCTTTTGGACTATTTTAACTTTCTTTCTGATTTTATTATTGGATTTTATCACCTTTTTTTTTTTCTTCCCCCCCCCTTTTCCTAGGTAATACCAAAAAAAAAAAAAGAAAAAAAAAAGCACCTCCCGCAGCCCCTTTGCCTGGAGGGATCCGAGATAAAATACGGAACAATTTGTCAGTTACAACAGGAAATAAAAATGATCTATTAGAGGGACAGAGCCAACCTCCACCCGGCTCCCATCGGCAAAGCTTTCACCTCCTCTTGTCGCAAGGAGCAGAAATGCCGGCTCAAAAGCACAAGAAAGGTGGAGGAAAGATGCTTTGGGGTAAATCGTTGGAATTTGGGGTGATTTATCCACGCTGGGCAATGGCAAGCTGGTTGCAATGGGGATTTCTAAGCGTGGAAAAAGAAGGTGAACAAGTGGAGCTGGATCCTGATAGGCTTCAAAGGAGGTGAAATGCAGGATCCCAAAATGTCCAAGAATTCTTTTTCCATCGATTTCAATAGAAATGGAATCATTTCCCATCATTTTCAATAGAAAAATGTAGATTTGGGGAGTAAAAATGCACCACAAGGGTCAAAACTGCTGTAACCAGAGCTGGACCTGCAGCCAAATGCTCTTAAATGTTCACCTTGAGGTTGGGAGTGGCCAGATTTGGGGTTTCTTCACCAAAAATGAGTTTTTCCCTGCAGGAAACAAATCATCCATGTTAAAAAGTGAGGTGTAGGTAAAAAAATGGTTGGAAATGATGGGAAAAAAGCTATTTTGCCATCATCCTGTTGGTATTTTTTAATCTTGGCATCTTTTTGGGAGCGCTGCTGCAGGAGATGCTGGAGACAAGTTAGTGCAAGGAAAGAAGGTTATTTTATTGGGGGATGAAAATGGAGCATCCCATTGCGGAGGAGGGAGGATCTCCCTGGAAAGCCCCGATCCTGGGGAATGGAGCTGGGAATCCTGCCCAAAACCCGTCTTGCCTCCTCCAGGCCCCACCCATGCCTTGGGATCACCCATAGGAGATGGTGGGTTGGGGGAAAGATGCCTCTCAAGGAGCTGCTGCATCCTGGTTTGGGCAAAATGGGATTAAATCCAAAGCTTCAGGAGGAATTGGGGTGTCTCAGCTCTCACCTCCCTGTCACACACCCCATGGGGCCTGGCTGGGGTGTAGAGGCTGCTCTAGGAGCATTTTGGCCAAGCAGCCATGAAGAAACTCTTCTCTGCTGTATTTTGGGCTGTTTCTAACCCAAATGGATCCTATTGGATATTTGCTTGGGAAGGAGAGATGTGAATTTGGGGGTGGAGGTGGCTGCATCCGCCAGCATCCCAATCCTTAAACCCAAGGTGAAATCCTGCTTACAGTGCTTCACACCATCGTGTTCCTGTTGTTCCCCGTCTCCGTTTTCCCTGCAAAGCTGTGGGAAAAGGGAAATAAAGGCGGAATTCCCCGTTTTGGGAGCGCGGCGCGGACAAAGAACTGCAGCGCCCGCATGGAACAAAGCCCTGACAGGAGGCAGATGCCTCCCGAGGAGCTGCCGGTACTAAATCACGGCCGTGCCGGTGCTTTTCCGGATCCCCGGAGCTGGAAGCACAAGGGGACATGTGGGAATGCCAAGGCTCGGTGTCACCCCCCCGCAAAGCACCCCTTGGTGTGTGTGTGGGGGAGGTTGGGGTGTCTCCCACCCCAGGGTGGGGTTTGGTCCCTGTCCTGCTATCACTGGGGATGGAGGGATCAATACAGGTGCTGGTGTCCAGGGCTGGCCTGTCCGGTCCCCCTCCCAGCCCCTCTGCTGGCCAGTTCGGGTCACTGAACATGCAGGAAACTGGTTGGAAACTGGGATGGGGCAAATCCGTTGGGATAAGGATGGGGCTGAGAGGCTCAAACCCATCAGGATAAGAATGAGGGGACTGGAGGCTCAGCCCCATTGGGATAAGGATGGGGTGGACAAGGGCAGACAGACAGGAAGGACAGGTGGAGAGGAAGGATGGAGAAGTGGACAGAAAGGACAGAGGGGTGGATAGGAAGAATAGACAGAAAAGATGGATAAATGGATGGAAAGGACAGACAGATGGCTGCGTGGGCTGGCTGGATGGAGAGGATGGATGGAAGGAAGGAACAAGCAGACAGATAAAAAGGATAGAAGGCCAGGAAGGATAAATAGGAAGGATCGACAGGAAGGATAGAAAGAATGGGTGGATGGATGGATGGATGGATGGATGGATGGATGGATGGATGGATGATGGATAGGAAGGGGAAATGGATGGGTAGGAAGGACAGATGGATAGAAAAGACAGATAGATGGATCAAATGGATGGACATGAGCAGGAAGGATGGGGGATCCAGGGATATGAAGTCTGTACGGAGAAGGACAGAGAGAAAGGAGAGAAAGGATAGGCAGATAGGTAAGTAGACAGACAGACATACAGGCAGACAGGAAAGAGACATAGGCAGTAAGGACAGATGGACAGAAGGATTTCTCTCTCCCTGGGTACCTCCTTGGACATCTCCTTGCACCTCAGCACCCCTCTCCTTCACCTTGGCCTCCACTGCTCCCCTACCAGCCTGGCTACATCACCTCGACCCCTCCCATGTCCCCACTGCCCTTGTCCCCATCCCTGTCCCCATCCCAATCCCTGTCCCCATCCTGTCCTGTGTCCCCATCCCCTTTCCTGTGCCCTATCCCCATCCCTGTTCCCATCCTTGTCCCCATCCTGTCCCCTTTCTATCCCCATCCCCGTCCTCATCCTGTCCCCATCCCCTTCTCATTCCCAGTCCCCATCGTGTTCCCACTGTGTCTCCGTCGCGTCCCCGTCTTTGTCTTCATCCCCCTTATCCTGTCCCCATCCCCATCTCACTCCCCATCCCTAACTTGTCCCCGCTGTATCCCTATCCCGGTTTCATTCCCCATCTGCATCCTATCCTCATCCCTGTCCCCTGGCCTGGCACTATCTGCCTCCTCCCCCCCGCAGCCCTTCTTCTGCCTTCGCCTGTTTCATTCTCTGCTCGGGTTTCGCGGCGCGGCGCCTGCATACAAATGACACCTTTTCCCCCCTAAACGGAGGAGCGGAGAGGGGGGTTTTTTGGCTGTTGCCATGGAAACCTTCCCTCGGCTGCTCTTCAACTTCCCGAGCATCCCTGGCCAACGTGGCGGCCGTTCAGCCGGAAAGTGGTCCCCGTGGTCCCCCTGCAAGGACTCGCAGGGGACAAGATGAGGACGTGCGATGCACAGGGTGATGGGCAGGGACCAGGGTCCCCAACGACCTTGGGTGTCCCCCACACTGCGGATATAGAAATGGGGTTCCGGGTGGAGCGGATCACTGCAGCAT